ATCACCATCATCACCACCGTTATCATCACCATCACCATCATCACTGTCATCACCACCATCACTACCACCACCATCACCACTGTCATGATCACCACTGTCACCGTCATCACCAACACCACCAACACCACCAACACCACCATCACCGTCATCGCCGGTCATCAACATCATCACCACCATCATCACCGGTCATCAACATCATCACCACCATCATCATCACCACCATCACCACCATCACCATCATCATCATCACCACCATCATCATCGTCACCACCATTATCACCACCTCCATCACCATCATCACCACCATTATCACCACCATCACCATCATCATCATCACCAATCATCATCACCACCATCATCATCGTCACCACCATTATCATCACCATCACCATCATCATCATCATCATCGTCGCCACCGTCACCATCATCGTTGCCACAGTCACCATTATCACCATCATCATTTTCCAAACATAATGCAGGCTCATCTCATCTTCAAGGACAGATGATGGTGGTCTTGCATGGATCTGGAGTTTGCACTTTTCAGCAGACCTGTCATGCAGTCACCCCTTTGATGCACAGAGCATCTCCTGGTTCTGACTCCTGAGTTAGAGAGCTGAGGGCTGGGTGGGGCCCCGGCAGAAACCCTCTGCAAGGTCATCCTTCATTGGTCTCCTGTTCTGATCTCTCTCGTGGTCCTTCCCACCGTTTCTGTGTCCTATGGAAGCTGTAACAAATTACCGCAAACTCAGTGGCTTAAAACAACATGGCTTTATTATTCTACAGTTCCAAGGGTTAGGGACCCGAATGTGGGATGACTGGGTTAAAATCAAGGTGTGGGCAGAGCTGGGTCTCTTTGGGAAGCTCCAGGGGAGAATCTGTTTCCTTGCCTTTTTCACCTTCTAGAACTCGCCCGAATTCCGTGGCTGATGGCCTTCCTCCATCACTGACGACGGCATTGCTGGGTCAATCCCTTCTCATGCTGCCATCTCTGTTTCTCTCTCCCGTGTCTCACTCAGGCTTCTGAGGACCCTTGTGATTCTGCTAGACTCACCCAGTCAACCCAGGGTCATCTCCCTGGGGAGGATGAGGGGATTAGCATCTGGCACCAGCTCCTTGAAACTCAGTTCCCCCTTTGCCGTGTAAACAGATACATCCCCAGCTTCCTGGGGTCAGGAGGAGGCCATCTTTGTGGTGGGTGGGCATTACTCTGTGTGCCACACACTGGTTTTTCTAGCGTGCTGTGCACCCCTCGCCTGAAATGTGCCTCCACTTTGGAGAAGGCGGTGGGCTGGGCAGCTGCCCCCGGGGTGGCCTCGGTCCTGGTCCAGCGGCATCGATTTCTATCAATGGGGAAACCATGGTAACAATGAAAAGTTGTTCCATGACTACACAGAGGGAGAAATGCTGGATCTGTTTACCAACGAATGGGGCTGCACGTCGTGTGTGTGTGTGTGTGTGTGTGTGTACACCCTCGCTCGAGCACTGGGGAAGGAATTAGAGTTAATTGGGGCTGTCACGTCTGTGCCCTCTTCTGCGGGGCTGGAATGGTGTCCACCGCTAATTGCCACCTCCGTGGGCCCCTCCCCTGTGCCGAGCACGCAGAACCAGTTCTGATGTTGCAAGGGCGCCCCAGGGACAGAATGGCTCACAGGTGGGATGACAAAGCCTTACCTTCCAGGAGCTTCCGGCCCCAGGAGGGACCTTCCGACCCGCAGCTCTGAGCCACATGGCCCCAGGGCGGGGAGGTGCGGTGGGCGGGCACGTGGAGTCCCCGAAGCCAGGCTTGTGCCCACTTGTGGGACGGAGATCA